GGGAAAAAGTTGATAATTTTAGTACCAACCAACAGTGGTTATCAATGTTGATTATTAAACATATTACGTGTACTAAGGCATACTGCAGTTACAAAATGTATGGGCTAGTGACTGGGAACAACCATAAAAAGTTGATCCGTATGTAAGTGCATGGTAGGGTTCGTTGATTTTTTTTCTTAATGAAATAATCTGCTGGAGCATGTATGATACAGTTTTGTCATTGATTTGTCACATACTGTCACCATTTAGGTAACTGTAAATGCATGGTAGGGTTCCTTAAAATTTTCTTATTTTAGAAAAAAATGAAATGATCTGCTGGAGCATGTATGACAGTTTTGTCCTTGATTTGTCACATACTGTCACCATTTGGGTAACTTTCACCATTTAGTGTCTCCTAGCCCATTGCTAGTGCTTACCTGTCCACATGGGATTCGGGAGAGGTAGGGCTTTGTTTCACCTTGGAGCTCTCCTCTAAATAGGTCTTATCCTTCTTGCCACCTTATGAGTTATTTTGAAAGAAAGGAACAGAAGAGCTTTCGAGGGTATAAAATTTTCTTTTGATTGGTTCAAGGATTTATGACTCCAAATCTGAAATATTTTTTGATTTAAAGTCATCATCTACATAATTTTTCATATACTTTTGACTGATTTGTAAAGTTTTGCACTTGGGTTGTACCTCCTCGTTATATATAATGCACTATTTTTTTCTTCCAAAGAAATGGAGGGTTTATCCTTCTCCCGTAGTCACCCACAAAGAAAAATGTCTTGGCAGGGCTTTAAGAGTTAACTTACATCCTTTCAAAAAAATGTTAAATTAGAACAATGAACATAAAATAACATGATATTACAAGTGGGACTAGGTTATGAGCTCTGTAATAATTTTAGGGCAAAGTACAGTTTTATCTCATTTGATTTGGCTTTCTTTCAATTAAAGTTTTTGATTCTTTTTTGACAATTCAGTTCAGTAGTTTGGTCTTTTGCTATTTTATAGAAAAAAATTAGTTTTTAAAGTACATCTTAATCTGTCCAGGTATCTAACAATGAACAGTCAGAAGTTTAACCAAGCAAAATCAAAGCTAGGAAGGAAAAACCAAAAATTTAGAAGATAATAGCTTAACAAATAAGGATCTTATGTATGATCACAATAAACTAAATTAAAGAGATTGAATTGTGAAAAGAAAAAGAAACAAGAGGGTTTGAATTGTAATAAAATCAAATAATGGGTGAAAAATTGTACTTCACCCATAAGTTTAACATGGTCTCAATATGATTTTCTATGTAAAAGGTAGTGTATGATGTGGTGTTTGACAGACATTTTTAGCTCTGGGGAGAAATGGACTTACGAGAATTTTGTACTATAAGCTTAGGTTTTGTAGCAAGAGCACTCTTTTTTCACTTTCGCAATGATGTCCAGTACTTGTTCTGATGAGATAAGGTGTACTGGGAGGAAGGAGATGAAAATAGGAAGTTCGTTCTATTTTGATACTTGGGTTTTATTACATTAAGTTCTAACAGTGACAGATATTGCTTTTGCCCAGGGTTGTTACTTGTTAGCTGGTTAGCTGTATGCACCTTTATTGAACTTCTGTCAATGTGGAACTTGACGAGGATAGAGGTTCAGCTATGCAATCTTTTGTCACCCGAGGCACCCCGCCTCTCGCTTGCTACTTATAACTGGGGCCTAGTGAGTCTCTTACTCTCGTTGTAGGGTCTAATAACTTGTCGGACTTCTTTTACGCATGCAGTATTCACTTTATTACCGTTTATGCCTTTTTCTCTTATTCTGCCTAAGTAGTTCGGGATATACTTTTACATTTGCAATATTCATCTTTATTATGGTTTATGCCTTCTTCTCTTATTCTGCCTAAGCAGTATAGGATATATTTCTTTTTGTTTTTTGAAAGAAAGTTCATGACATTTTTAAAATTATCCCTTTTTTGGTCAAACTTTTAGCTCTGGTCAGAACAAATAAATTTAATTTGTAAAATTCATTTTAAATCTACGACTTCATTTGGTGGTGCCCTACAAACTTGTTTTTAATGG